GAACTTCATTGTTTTCCTGGCATAAAAGTCATTTAATTACTACATACGCCTTGAGGACAATCATTAAGATGTGTAAACATGTAACGGGTCCACCTAGTCAGTACAAAGCACCACACAAACTTTAAGTACATAGAAAGTTTGCTCATAAATATTTCTTTGTTTAACAATTCAGCACTAAAAAAATATTACTTAAAAAGGCATCTTTTATTAAGTTATTCAGTTTGTCCAGGGCTGGTGGGGTTGTACTATCCCTACTGTATTACAGCCACCTGACCCTCTTTCCAAACCATTTTACTTTTCTGGAAGAAAAGGCTATGTGTGGCTGGGACCCGAAGCTTCAGCACAATCTATAAAAATATAATTCTTTAAGACCTTCTGCTCACATCCTGAAGGCCTACACAGCCAGCCCCCAAATTGTGTTTCCCACCCCCACCACATTGCAAATAAAGCTTCAACGCGCGCGCGCACACACACACACAGAGTACATATATTACGCTCTTCTACACACAGATTTTTCTAAATAGCAATGCAACCACAAGGGCAATAGGTAAGGAGTACATGTGATTTCAGTGGCAACATATGGCACAGCCTTCTCATATTGCTGGTTTTCTCTATCTGAATGATGTGCTGCCTTATTCACTGCTCTGCCAATTGTGGATTTATTACTATTGTTTGCGCTGTGGAGGCACTAAGTCAGGAACACATGCTTATTTAGGAGCATACTTAGGAGCACCCCATTTGCCTCGAGGTCCATTGCTGCTGGAGCAGTAAAAGCACCAAACTGGTGGCTGGTGGCGCTGGGGCTGTCACCTGGCACTGGTTTCCTGGTGAAGCAGACGGGAGCTTTCCTAGGCTGTTGAAAGCCAAACCGCATTCTTCCCTTCTGGAAAATGTGAGAACTCCTGAAAAAGTGTGCTGACAATAGCAGCTCCCTTGCATTCTGCATTCAACGCCCTTCGCCGGGCGCTTAGGGCACACTCCTCCAGTTTCTGATTGAACCTCGTGGATTTACCTTAAATCTGCTCCTGCATGCATGTATAAACTCGCCGTTTACTCATTTATTTAAAAGAGAAGAGCTATTTTCAGGGCTGTGATTGAACATCTCAAAGCTTAGTCTCCGTGGTTGATACGTGTCTTTAATGGACGTGTTTTAGAAAGGTACAAAACTGTTCAGCAGTAGGCTCTCACTTACCAGAAGCAAACGTCTTTCATGAAGAACAGCTCTCTGAATAATCTTATCCTGTGATTCTAATAGGAGTTGAACGACTAGTCAATGAGCCAATGAGGCTGCAATGGGATGTAAAAGAAGGGGTTGTGTTTCCATTTATGAAGAAATATTTTGGTCTCAGAGCAACAAAAATTTGTAACACGCACGTCTCAGCTTCTAAAAGTACTCTTTAAACGGGCAAGGACCTTTACTCAGGAGAGGTCGTTTTCTTTAGTATAAATATAAGCCAAAATTCTCCAGTGGGCATAAGCATAATGACGTAGCGCCTTCTCCAATAACCAGTGCTCTCATTAAACTGGATACCTGCTCTCTTCCTCCTGCAAAACACTACCATAGCAGAAACACTGCGGAGTGCTGACAGAAGCACTTGTTCTGACATGCAGGAACAATTGTTTCCTACTGTATAGTCTTGTATGCTCCAACCTACGCACTAAGATAAAAATTACTCTGTGAAGGGGAGCGCAGCTAAACGCTGCACAAGAAACAGACCTCAAAATGAGTTGTGGTTCTTATTCCAAGCCCCTCTTCTCACCTTGTATGCAGGAATAAAGAGCACAACACAGAGAGGTCCTACACATGAAAGTAAGAGGCATACAAGAGCAGTGGTGCAGAATGCCAGCAGTTGTCTTCCCATGAAACTTCTTTAAAAAAAAAAAAAAATTAAGACAACAAGGGTGTTACTCACTTCCACGTACCTACTACCTTACAATGAGACGATTACAGCACACAAACATGAGCTCTTCCATTAATTACCCTTTCTCTATACTAGGATATAACTAAGGAAACCTTTAATTACATCCACTTTATTCAGCAAGGCTATCAAACTGTTCTTGTTCTGTTTAATTCTGAAACGATTAACATATTCAAAAATAGGATCTAACAATTTGTGTGTGCACGGTATATTAAATGTAGATGCTTTTATTACAGTCTTCCTTGCCACATATTTTAAAGTAAATCAATACAATCACCATAACAGTCTCAGACAACAAATTAACACCATCCAATCAAGACACAGTTAAGATACTCAAAAAGGCAGTATGAGTAGCCGGAAACCTTGGTCCTCTGATTCTTTTGTATAACACATTGATCATAGATTTCTCCCGCTTATGATAAAAATCAGCAAACAAACATTAACGTTAACAATTCATACTGCAGATTTCTTAAACGTGTATATCAAGAGTGAATAGCATTGATTTTAGCACAATGTCTTTATGCACGTCTCCCAAAGAGGTACATGGGAATTTTAAGCATGTAGAGACTAATCTGGGACCAGAATAGATGAGATCATTTGTAAACAACTTTTGATCTCTCCTGCACGATGGCTCCGCAAATGAGTGCACTCGCAGTAATCAAAATGGCTGACCACATATGCTGCAAAGTTCATTCCAGAAAAAAGGGATCCAACACAAATTACTTCCGGTAAGCGAAAAGAAAGAATGGTGGGGAAGTCGACTGGACACAAACACAAAGCATTCACCGCTCCCATGCGTATATGTACTTCAGCGTTAGAAGCGTCCTTCACTGCTAACTTCACACGTACACATGGGAGGGAATACGTGTGGCAGTGAAGTTAGCAGTCCCTAACTGGTGAATGCTGGACTGGTGGGTTACAGACACCTTTCAGGCTGTTAGGATGGTCATGGAAAATTATCCGTTAGTTATTGAATCCACTCTCTGGGCTAAAGTGCTTGTCCTTCTGTAATCAATTGGGACCTGAACTAGTTTAGACTAACCATTTTTCTTTACCTAAGGATCTGCAAGTGGATCAGACAACCGTGATAAGTCTCCTCTGAGCCCTTAAATAAATAGTGGGCAGCTGTCTAATACTGAGACACTTTCCAGCTGCACCAGAAAGACAGCAGGAACTCCTGCATATAATATCTGTATCTATTTCTGAGGAGAGGAGGGAATAAAGATTGGACAGGACTGTGCTGAGTCTTTGAATTTTGTTCTGCAAACATGATGAAAAAGTGCTGTGTAACTCTGAACAAATAAAAATGCAGCCAAGTATTAAGTATGTATACCTTGACATTTAAAAATACCTGTTAGCCTGTTGTGACTACAAAACGTTAGCTACAGAATATATTTACAGATAATTTCTGATGTTTGTTCCTGGCAAGAGATGTTAAGCCCAATTCTTCACTGAAGACATAAACCTGACCTAATTTAGATCAGGTCAGTGAGAGTTCAAAACAGGTATCACATGAGCAACTCCCAGGGACTTAAGCAGAAAAAGCTAGCAGCCCATTGCTACATACATCCAGCTACTGCACAATATGAACTTTTGCAAACTGAGCACATTAGTATCATTATCTTTTTTTTTTTTTTTTTAACATGGATATGTCACAAATTCTAAGGAAGCTGTGAATTACTGAACTGATCCATTCTTTGAAGCAGTGGCAAAAGATCACACCCGACAGGTATAAGCTGCTACCACTTTCTCTTTTATGGCAAGATCATGGTTCATTATGATTTACAGATAAAACTTTGTTTGCAAGGTAGCTTTAAGTTCCCTAAATTCCAAGCTTCTTTATTTCAGAGAAAACCAGCCCTTGCCTTTCTCTCAATTCCCTTGTGAAAGTTCATTTTTTTTAGTGGCAAAAAAATTGTGCTGTCTCACACTTACTATAAGGGCTTTTCAGTAGTACATGCTTACAACAGGTAGGGTTTCTTTGACAGCAGATTTTGACAGTGCATACTTCCTGCTGCTTAAAAAGAAATTAAAAGGCCAATTTTGAGATTGTCTCTCCTGTTGATCCCCTGATGTGAAGAACTCAAGAACCCCAACTTTGCACTGCACTAGTGCAGGGATGGCCACCATATGGCTCTCAATTCAGTGCCATGCAGCCCCCGAGCCAGGCCATGTTACGTGACTGGCAATGAATCCACAGCCCTGGTTATAGGAGACAGTGTACCAGGAGCCACTTCCAGACCCACCTAAGATCTGTGCTGGAGCCATGGGACCGCAGAAATCAAATGTCATTTACTGCATGTGAACTGCTCCTGGGATTCATCTAATTCTTGGCAATCTGAGGGACACAGTAGAGGTCTCAAAGCTTGGATTTCTGTATGTGACCAATAGGAGCTGCAAAACTGGATACAGCTGGGTGAGGGTGTCAAGCATAATGCCGCAAAGTCGACCATGATATGTATAGGCAGGGAAGTTCAGTATGTTGATCCCTTCTTCCAAAGAGGATGGTAGGGATTATACACTTCCACATGAAATAATCTAATTTTAAAAGATAAATAAACTCATAGTTATGTTTGGAATATGGCACGCAACACTTCTTTAATCAATGCCAGAAACCGTTAAAATCCTTTTGTGTTCAACTGTTGAGATGCATCACCAGCTACAGTATTTAAATATCTTTGCTGAAAGCAACTATCTCAAAAAAGGCAATTGTATACCTGGCACAACTGCCCAAGCAAAAAGCAGCTTATCTAAAAAGGGAGCAAATTATTAATACCGAGCTGTTTCCAAGCCTATCTAGAAGTTTGTGTCTCAGGAAGAAGAAAAAAAAATTTGCATCAATTTAACAATACAGCGCTGCAAAGAAAGGCAATTCATTGTACTTCACAGAATCACAGAACGGTTGGCCTCTGGAGATCATCTAGTCCAACCCCACTGTGCAAGCAGGGTCAAGTACAGCAGGTTGCTCAGGGCCTTGTTCAGTCAGGTTTTGAATATCTCCAAGGATGGAGACTCCACAACCTCTCTGGGCAACCTGTGCCAGTGCTCGGTCACCCTCACAGTGAATTATATTTTTTATGGAATTTCCTGTATTTCAATTTGTGCCCACTGCCTGTTATCCCTTTGCTGGGCACCAGTGAGAAGAGCCTGGCTCCTTCTTCTTCACTGCTTCCCATCAGATATTTATACGGACTGTTAAGATAGTTCATGTCTTTTTACATGTTGGATATCAGCCATGAGCTCATCTCTATTACTGACTGCTAATTTTAGCAACTGTTCACATCACCAAAATTATTATTGCTAGAAAGTTATTTCATGGCAGTGGTTACTAAAAACTGTGGCAGTAGAGTCACGTTTTGTAGGTCATTTCTGTTTTTTTTTTCCCCTTAAAATTCTCAAGTCATATGAATTTTTTTTCTCATTTTTAATGACAAATGCATGAGAGGAAATAAAATTATTATTAGTTGTTGAGAGTGAAAGCCCGGAGTTTGCCTCTTACATTTACTGCAAAACATGTTCATCTCTCAAATTTCATTTGCTTCAGAGATACTGAAAATGAGGGATTTCAGAAATGTATTAATTATGAAATCTTACTCTATTAAAAAAAAAAACCTATTCATCTAAAAATTCACTTTAAGGATAAATTACTCTTCTACTAGGTGAAAGCAATTAACTTTTACAATGGCAGAAAATCCACAAAAATGGTGGGATAAGTGAAGACTTCAGTGGCCAAAGCAATCTCCAAACCGGCTCTTCTGGGGACTCCCAAGCTATGCAAGTGACACTATCAGTTAGGCAGGCGTGATGAGGAAGATGCAGAAGAGGTATCTGGGAGATACCCAAGAGTGAGTTTCCTGAGCATAATCAGGTAATCAAGAAAAACTCAGCCCTTTCTTCTAATGCAAATTTGCTTCATGTCACTGCAAGCAGAAATGCAATTTTAATCTCCCTATGCCATCTGAGACAAATAAAGCTCATCAACTGAATTTGGATTTAACAACACACTAGACCTCAACTTGGGAGAAGCAAAACCTCAGTCCCATACAGAAATCATACGGAAGTACGAGTGGCCAGTTCCTGTCAGCATATCTGCCCTACTGGTACAATATGTGGCTGTGATGTATACGACGCTGAAACTACTAAGAATCCCATTTTGAAGCCTTATGAAGCAGAATTTTGAAATAAAGATGCATTAATAATAATGCATTGTTGTCATCTCTAATCAGTGTAGGCTGCAGAGACTTACATTATGAACAATTAATTTTGTATGTTACACTGCATTTGGTAAACATACTAAAACTAAAAATACTACTTTTACCACATTGCTTCATTGATAAGCCTGCCAATAGTGCTCACTGTTGCTAACTGGAAGTACCCTACGTAGTTTGTAAATACATCCACCCATGAAAAGCAAACTAGGGTAGCCAGCTTTCAGGGTAAGAGCTGCTTTCTCTTTTGTCCTTACAGAATGTTTGTCCTTAGTTAAAAACTAAAGAAAGAATCAAACCTGGCCTCGGAGGTAGAACTACAAACTTCTAATCAGTGCTACTGAATAAAGATATTATCTTATTAATGAAGATGTTTCTGGAGCAGCTTTTGGAAGAAAATCATGTGGGCACCCACAAACATTAGAAATAAGCAGCCAGTACTTGCAAAAACTGAAACTGTGTAGCTGTTCATATTCAAGAAACAGGAGCAGTTATCAGTAACATGAATGACACCTCAAGGTCACTTCAGAGTACTTAAATGCCAAACATCTTCAAAGTACTCCTACACAAAACCAGAACTTTGTGTGCAGTTTTAATCCTGCTTAGTTTCATAGCAGCTGAGATGATACTGAATACCAGAGTAGGTAACCAGATACCTCCAGGAAAAGGGAGGATGGAGCCAGCTCCACTGGCACTAGATGCCATCTTGAAATATATTTTCCAGTCAGTCAAGCATTCCATTAGCAAATTCACATCTAAAGTCTTTGGCAAGGCAGGAACACTGTACTCTCTTGCCCTGGGTAATTACACAGACTAAGTGAATTTGACAGCCATTTTGATACCTGGTAATATGCTTCAATGCACACTAACTGTTTTGTTTTTAAAACTGAGCAAGGCCAGCACATATGTTTGAGAGTGGATATCTGCCTATGCTGGGCACTATTTCATGAAAGTCAGGTTTCTGTCACAGATCTAAGGCAAATATTACAATTTACAGGAAAGAAATGAGGACATCAATACATTGTGCGTTATTGGAGACGTACAGCCTTTATAACACGGTGGCTTTCACTATGATCTCTGGGTTTTCTATGTCCTTTTTGCTTTGGACCATTCTCAGTTCCAGCTGGGCTGAGTTTGGTTTGTTTCCTTCTCCAGCTTGTGCTACAAAGATGACATCAGAATGTCATTAAAAACAGCAGTAGAAAAAGAAACAAGTTACATTGTTCCGTTACCCCACCTTTTTTTTTTCAAACCTCCTCCCCCCTCCCCAATCTCCCTTACTACCCCCTGCTAAAGACTTCCAAGGTGGAAGATCCAGGTCAGCACTGTGATTTCTTATCACCCCTGTTCTGCATCTCTCTCCAGGAAAGAAACACAGCTTTGCTGTTATTAGAAAGTGACAACAGACATGCTCCAAGAACCCACAGATCCCATCTGGATCTCCTTAGGAATTGAAGGACATGGGAACTCCAAGGGGAGAGAAGCTGAAAAAAAAAAAAAAAAAAAAAAAAACCCCC